CGTAACACAACGCAATCTTTGAACCATTTTTTGTGTTTCTACAACGCGTATTGGAGTGTCAAAGAGTGTCGAAGTATCGGAGAGTGTCGGGAAGTGTCGGACACGACACGTCAAGGTTTTTAAAGTGTCGGTGCTTCATAGATATTATGTTAGTTTATGAATGTATATAGTATTAAAGTTATTCGTTATATGTTGAAGAAAAAAGTTCTACAAGGAGTTTAAGAAGCAAGGATTCAAACATCATCCCTCCCTGTATCCAAGCATTGCAACCCATACGCACCCAAATCGCCAATAAGCCACACCAAAGCTCAAGTCTTTGAATCACACACAAACCCTCATCTCCCTTTCACGGTAGGCAGAAACAGTTTGGTTTTTCTACATTTGTTTGGTTTATTTTGGGCTTACAGAGTACCCTAATCCACCTCCTCTTTCAATCATTATATTTTGGGCTTTGAAGAATCTCTCAGGTCCAAATTAGGTAGATTAGATAATAAAAAAAGGTTGTTCAAAAGAAAAAAGAAAAAGTAAAGAGAGGTTATTTTGATTCTTAATGGTTTATGGGAGTGTTTGGTTTAGGAAATGTTTTCTGCTGCTTCTTTTTTTTCTTCGTCATTTCCTTTATAAATCTTCGAGAACATGAAACAAAATGAAAACAAGCTGTCATTTTTGTAAGTATTAGTTAAAACAGAAAATGGAAACAGAAAACATGTCCACAAACCAAATGCACTCTAATATTTTAATAACTTTGAGCTTATGCCTCCCAAGCTATGTTGCATGATACAGATACAAGCTTTTGATATGATATGATACCATATCTAAATATGATAAGAAAATAAATTAAATTAAGATGCGGGGTATGTCATTACACATAAATAAAATATTTATATTTATATATGTAAAAATAAAATAAAATTCATCCACCTAAGACCACTCCAACTTAAGTCCCTGGTTGTCTGTCCTCTCCCGCTCTAACCCCAGCACCTTCCTCACTCTGCTATGTTTCAGAATGAGATATGTATATGATACTGATAATCAACTACGTCACCAAGTTTGACATATACTTGCATCATAGCTCCCAAGGGTAAAGGAATGAAGGCTCTATTTTCACACCATTTATTTTTACATAAAGTATTCAACAGTGATGTAAATGGGCCAGGCTAGGCCGGGCTTTGGCTTTCATGGGTTAAACCTATGTAAAAAAATATTCAGCTTATCTGACTTATTGGCCTACTAAAAATTTTATTTATAGCCTGACTTATTTTTAAAAATTAAAAAGCTTGATATGGCTTATAGGCCTTGTAGACCTCCCAGCAAAGAAAATAATTAGCTTTAACAGCCAATACAGGTTCTCATTTTCTATAGTCTCTTATTAAAAAAACATAATGGAGATGCCATTTAGCCAAATAACTAAACTTTAATTCATCGAAATGCTCTTATTAAAAAAAATTGGAGTCCCATTTAGCCAAATAAATGGTGATGCATAATGGAGAAATTCAATTATTCAATTTAAAAAACAAAACTACAAGGCAGTGCACAAAAGAAGACACTTAGAAGCAAAATATGACCATATTTGTGAAGAAACAGCTCAAAATATTGAGGCACAAGAGCAATGGTTGCTGCAGATTCAGGTATCTATTTATGGACACCTGTCTAAGAAGAGAAACATGTCCCAACTATCTAGTAGATTTGTTTTTCATTTTTTAGACTACGATTTCTCATACTGTGGTTATTCATTCACATGGAACTATTCTCTTGAGAATCTTGATTGATGTGATTTTGGTAATTGTTTGACATTGTTTGCAGGCTCAAAATGATGGTTTCTATGTTATCTTCGACCTTGAAGAATACAAAGATAGTTCTTGTTTGTTTAGTAGTTCTCATGATTGAATCTGATTTTTATACTTTATCATCATGTTGACAAGGTTAAGTTTGTTGTCAGATTATGTTTAATAATGTACATAAAATTTCAAGATTAACCAGCAAAAGAAAGTTTTCTCAATTATTACATTGATTAAGATAAATTTTCAATTCTTAATTTTCATTGGCAGTTATTGGTATAACTTATTCATTTTATACAGAATACTCGAAAAATATCAAAATGATAAATAATCAAAATTATACAAATTATCAAAATATTTTCGTATATCAAATACTCCATTTTATTCATTTTATATATTAAATTATCAAAATATTTTCATAATTATATAAATCTATTAGGAAAAAAATTTATTTAAATTTTTTAAAGTAATAGGATTGATATTATTTAAACAAATAATAAATATTTATTTAAAATTTAAAATATAATATAAAATTAAATTAGTAAAGAAAGTGCAAATTATATGTATATATATATATATATATATATACATATATATATATATATATATATATATATGTGAAATTTTCATGTGATTTTTATGAACATTTTCATATGATCTATATGTACATTATTTCATGTGATGTTAATGAAAATTTATTTCATGTGATGTTAATAAAAATTTATTTCATGTGATCTTTGTGAATAATTTTTTATCTTTTATATTTATATTTGGTTTGAGCCTATAAACTTTAGTTTCCAACGCCTTACAGATTGTATTAGGTTTTTTTATAATAAGTCAGGGCAGACCAATAAATCAAGTATTTAATAGTCTAATAAGCCAGTGTAGGCTCTAAATATTTTACATAGACTTAAGCTATCAAAGCCGAAGTCAGACCTAACTTGGCCCATTTATACCCCTAGTCGTAACATGTGAAGAACATCAACGTAGAGGGACAATAAACTTCACAATTAGAAAGAAACATGGAACAATAACCTACAAAAAAAAAAAGAAACATGGAACAATCAGCGACAAATGTCTAAAATTATTTAAATGACATTGGATCCACATAAATTATTTCATCAGTGTTTAGATATTTTAAAAATACAAAAAAAACAAAGAAGTTGTTAATGAATATGTACAAGAAATTTTCATACATCATATATTTATGGGTTCACTTTTTCTGAAGTCATTGTAGATAAGTTATCTGCAGTAAGCCCAATACGACGTCGTTTTGGAACGGAAATCATAGTGTTTTTATAATTTTAATTTATTTCAGGGTTATTATAGTCTTTATAATTATAATTTTTTAATTTTTCAATCCCAAAAGACATCGTTTTGGAAGTAAATGCCGTTATGCAGATAACTTATTTGCAATAACTACAGAAATATTTTCCTGTATATTTATATTTATATATATATATATATATCTTCATTGGTTTTTCTCTTTAGCAATTTTCACTGATTAATCGCCAAAATTCTCATTCCTATTGTGAAATCAAATACAAATAACACCAAGAAACGATTCAATTCCATTACCAATAGCAACGGTAGCTCTGCATTAAAATATATTTTTTAAAAGGTAAATGTAAAACAGCATTCCATTTTAAAAAATAAAATAAAAAAACAAACCAAAATGGCATAATTTTATTAAAATGACACAAAGTTATATCGTTTAAAATGACAAATACTTTTTTAAAGGTTAAGATTTGGTGTCAAATTTTAAAATTTGACACCAATGTCAAAAGATCCTATATATATAGGACCACTCTCACCACCCTCCGCCATGATGATTAACTACCGTAGTTTATCATCACAATTGCCATTAACCACCACCACCCGCTGCTACTAGCTCCAAAACTATCACCACCACCACCACTCTAACCTACCATTATTGCACCAATCAGTATCATTAGTCACGTCCCATCAATATTGACTACTAAAAAAAACTTAAATTTTTAAAAATTTACGTAGTAAAGATATAATTTTTTTATTTTGAAATATTTTATAAATTATTTATATATTTTGGCATGGGAAGATTATTTTGACTTTGGTGCAAGAATAAAAAAAATCTTATTTTTCATCTTAATCATTTATTTTTTTATGTATTTGACATATATATATTATGTTATTGAATTGCTTTTGCAGTGAAAAAAATAAAAGAAGAAAAGACCTCAACTGGATATGTATTGACAAAAATGATTTCATAACTAAATATTATGCTATTATTCTGACAGTATTTATATATCATTATTATTAATAGAGGTGGCAAAGCGGGCTGCCCACCCCGCCCCGCTCCTGCCCGCCAAAAAGCGGGCTGGCCCGCCCCGCTCCGCCATTGAAGGTGGGCTAGATATCTCTGCCCGCCCCGCCAAGCCCGTCACATTTTATACTAAAATTTAAAAAAAAAAAAATCAGCCCGGGCGGGCTGGCGGGCAACGGGTTTAGAAAACTCAGCCCGCCCCGCCCCGTTTGATGGGCTGGGTGGGCTCGGCCCATTTTGCCAGCTCTAATTATTAACTACATTTGTGAAAAAGCCCTTCAACCCTGGGCCAGCCCATTAGACCCCACAAAAAAACCTTATTAAATTTAGTCCTCTATGTTATAGGGCCATTTTTGTCCCAACCCATTGAAACCCTCTCATTTTGAGGGCTATGTTGGGGTTGGGCCGAGGCCACAAATTTTTTCCATCAATTTACACTTTTTTGTTTTCGTTCTCATCTAATCTTACACACACCTTCGACTCCACCTGGCTCCGCCGTCCACGGAAGTTCCGGCCACCACCTTTCGCTCCCTCACTCTCTCCCTTTCTCTTTCTTAACAGGTCCCTTCTCAATCTCTCGCTCTCTCTCTCTCTTTCTCATGCATAATGCCCACTCAATCTGTTCTGTTGGTGAATTTTTTTTTTTTAATGCAAAATTTGGTGAATTTTTTTGCAATTTCAATTTTTCATCAGCTTGTGAAAATATATATTTATTATTACATTTTGGGTATCGATCCTTTATCTTTGATGCATTGAATTGCACCTTGATGCCCGCCATATGTTTGAGGAAAATAAAAAATACGAGGCAGTAATTTAGGGAAGAATGTGAACCAATTTTCTGCTGCATCATTGTGTGTGAAAGGTCAAGTCAAGAAGTGTGATTTAATGTGCCTTATTGTCCAATTTATGTTTTTTTTCCTTGTGTTTTGCAGACTACAGTTAATCACAAGCCTTTCTTGAACAATTTGATTGGGAAACCTGTTATTGTGAAACTAAAGTGGGGAATGGAGTACAACTGTACAAGGGTATGGTCCCATATTATGGCGTAATTTTTCTACCGTTAAATATCACAGTAATATGTTTCATTTCGGTGTTTATATATTAGGTAATCAAATACTGCATGAATTTTTTATTCATCTGTTAATTGTGTTTTTTTTTTTTCCAGGTTATCTTGTCTCAGTTGATTCCTATATGAACTTGCAGGTGAATTTCTGAATTAAATCTTAGGTTTTTCCCCCCGAATAATAATTATTTTTTGGGGATCTTTGCTTAGTAGCTAAAAATATTTTTTATATTTGTGAATCTCTGTGTAGCTGGCCAACACTGAGGAGTATATCGAGGGACAATTTACTGGAAATTTAGGAGAAATTTTAATCAAGTAACTTCCATCTCAACTATTTTATTTGCTAGTGGTTTTCTTGTTTTGCTAAGCACATGTATATGATGTAGATATTTTTGTTGATTGTATTGAATCTTATCTCTATGATTTTGTTGACCCTTCATTGTATTGATATGGACATCAAGAAGGGTAACATCAGAAGCCAATGTGCATCAGGAAGTTCAACCAAAGGGGATTTGAGGTCACTGTTGCATCTCTCAGTATTGGGCACATTTGATAAATATCTCGGTTCATTAAGTAGTAATGAAAGGGGATTTGAGATGTGAAAGAGTATAAACAGTTTTCTGTTTTCTGTTATTCAGTTGTAACTAATTCCATATTTAGTGGGTTGTTATAGCACAGCTATATATACTGTAATTTACCATTTATCTGTAACTGAGTTTTCATATTTTCTGATAATAAAATCAGATACCAATTTCTTATTCCTTCTTCTCCTTCATTTCTCTTTCTTGCACTCTGGTCTGATACCTTTCATGGTATCAGAGCTAGATCTTGATCCATGGAGAATCACGACCTTCCGCACGCTTCAACAGTCTTTGCTGCACACTGCAGCACAACCTTCCCTGCACACATTTTCAAACCCGGTATCAATTAAGCTTGATGAAGAAAATTTTCTTCCCTGCAAACAACAAGCTTCAGCCACGATCAGAGGTTTCAAACTACAGAAATTCATATCAGCAGATGCAGAATCTGCAAGAACCGAATATGGAGCTGATCTTTGGGAGCAACAAGATCAATTGCTGGTTTCTTGGTTATTAGCTTCGATGTCTGACTCTCTTCATACAAGAGCAGTTGGATGTAACACTTCGCGTGAAATTTGGCAGAAACTTGAAGAGTTCTTTGCTTCTCAAACTCGAGCAAGGATTAAACAATTAAAGGTACAACTTAAAAGCACAAAGAAAGATGGTTCGATTTCAAAGTATCTTCTTCAACTAAAGAAGATTGTAGATTCACTAGCAGCAACTGGAGCTCCTGTGTCTACTGAAGACCACATTGATGCCATACTCGACGGTCTAGGTGAGGATTATGATCCTTTTATAATTTCAGTTTCTTCAAGAACTGATGCCTATACTGTTAGCGAAATAGAATCTTTACTCATGGCACAAGAAGAACGCATTGAGAAACACAGAAAAACAGAAATCTGTTCTGTTCAAGCAAACATGGCACAAATGCAGATCAAGAAACCACAACAATACAATTCTATAAGAGGAACTTTCTTTAATAGAGGACGTGGTCAATACTACAGAGGAGGCAGAAACTTCAAGCAAACATGGCACAAATGCAGATCAAGAAACCACAACAATACAATTCTATAAGAGGAACTTTCTTTAATAGAGGACGTGGTCAATACTACAGAGGAGGCAGAAACTTCAGAGGTGGAAGATTTAATCACAGTTATCAAGGTTCCAACAATTTCCACAGCTCAAACAGACCCCAATGCCAGGTTTGTGGAAAGTTTGGACATATAGCGTGGGAATGCCACCATCGCTTTACTGAGAGCCTTCCAAATCCATACACTCAGAATCAAACGAATACTTCTTTTCAAAAACCTCAAGCTCATGTGGCTGTAGCTGATTCCAATGAACCCTCTCATCGTGATGATGCTTCTGACTATTGCTCACTGTTCGATCCAACTTGGTATCCTGACTCAGGAGCAACCAACCACTTCACACCAGATTCATCTAATCTGATTACAAGGACAGCATACAGGGGCAATGAATCTGTCAAGATAGGTAATGGCACAGGTATGAAAATACAGCTTGTTGGTCACTCAATTCTTAAATCTCCTTCTCACTCCTTTACCTTATCAAATCTTTTACATGTCCCTGGCTTATCCAAAAATTTGTTAAGTGTCTCTCAATTTGCTAGAGAACACAATGTCTTCTTTGAGTTTCATTCTAACAACTGCTTTGTTAAATCTCAGGTCACCAAGGAGATACTTCTCCAAGGGACACTTAAAAATGGCCTATATGCCTTTGAAGGTGCCAAAGTGATCAAAAAACCTCTTCTTGCTGCACTTAATACAGAAACTTCTTGTAATTCTGTCAATACTAGTCATAATTCTCTTTGTAATTCATTCATAGGCCTATGACACAATCGACTAGGACATGCTTCACTTAAAACTGTAAAAGTTGTCCTCTCTCATTGTAAAATTCCCTTTCAAAATAAAGTTGACATCGCACCTTGTTGTGCCTGTTGTATGGGTAAGATGCATCAATTGCCCTTTACTATGTCATCTACAATCTATTCACAGCCTCTTGAATTGGTTTTTTCTGATATATGGGGTCCAGCACCTATGGATAGCACATATGGTTCAAGATATTATATATGCTTTGTTGATGCTTTCAGTCGTTTCACTTGGATTTATCCCTTAAAATCCAGGTCTCAAACCTTTTCTGTCTTCCTACAATTCAAAAACATGGTCGAATTACAGTTAAATGCAAAAATTAAAGCTGTACAAACCGACAATGGGAAGGAATATCTAAAACTCACCTCCCTTTTACAGAATCATGGCATATTACATAGACTGACTTGTCCCTATGTCCACCAGCAGAATGGTACTCCTGAGAGGAAACATAGACATATTGTGGATACTGGCCTTACACTATTGGCAGCATCTGGTATTCCTCTCAAACATTGGGAAGATGCCTTCCTTTCTGCTACTTTTGTCATAAACATGCTGCCTTCACCCACATTAGGAAATAAATCTCCTTTTCAAATTCTTTTCAACAAATTTCCTAATTATTCTTCCTTGACAGCTTTTGGATGTGCTTGTTATCCTTACCTTCGACCATACAACAAAAATAAGTTCCAGTATAGGTCCGAACCTTGTACCTTTCTTGGTTACAGTGTGAATCACAAAGGCTATAAGTGCCTCACTGCATCTGGTCGAATCATTTTATATGTACATGTCATATTTGATGAAAAACTCTTTCCATTTAAGACTCCTAAACTTTCTCCACTCCCATCAGCATCTAAGCCTTCTTGTGTTCCCCTTACACCTTATATACCTACTGTATCTCAACCATTGAGTGATAATAATCCTGTAATTTCTACTTGTCCCATTAACACTACTACTGCTTCTTTGCCTGTTATTACTACTGATGTTTGCAGGTCTCCTGTTACTGATTTGCACTTCTCACCACTGAATGATGGTAATTCTGGCAGTCCTCATACTGATTCTCCACCTGTTTGCTCTCCTACTTCCCAAGTACTTCCTCATAATGATCATCCCATGGTCACTCGAGCCAAGGCTGGGGTTTTCAAACCAAAGGCCTTTTCTGTTTCTTTGGAACCTACTACTGCAAATCAGGCTATGTCTCAACCACATTGGTTACAAGCCATGAAGGATGAATATCAAGCCCTTCTTCGTAACAACACTTGGCGTCTAGTCTCTCTTCCACCAGGCAGGTCACCCATCGGATGCAAATGGGTTTTTAAAACCAAGTACAATCCTGATGGTAGTGTTTCCAAATACAAAGCTCGCCTTGTTGCTAAAGGCTTCCATCAACAGGAAGGATTCGATTATGCAGAGACGTTTAGCCCAGTTGTTAAACCCACTACCATAAGAGTTGTCCTCTCATTAGCTCTTTCACGCAGCTGGCCCATCCATCAACTTGATGTGAACAACGCGTTCCTCAATGGTGATTTAACCGAGGAAGTATACATGCAACAACCACCTGGATTTAGTGTTGGTGATAAAAATATGGTGTGTCATCTGACCAAAGCTCTCTACGGTCTCAAACAAGTACCTCGTGCTTGGTTTGACAAACTAAGTTCCACTCTCCTTCGACTTTGCTTTGCTTCTGCTAAATGTGACAATTCACTGTTTGTATCATTCACACCTTCTGCCACAACTTATATACTGGTATATGCCGATGATATCTTAATCACAGGTTCAAATTCTGCTGCTATCTCTTCTCTTATTACAACCTTGAACTCAGCCTTTGCACTTAAAGACTTAGGCAAGCTCCATTACTTCTTGGGAATTGAAGCTCACACCTCACCTACTGGTGTTTTACACTTGACACAGTCCAAATATATTTCTGACCTTCTAAAGAAAGCAAATATGTCAGATGCTAAGCCTATGCCCTCTCCTATGATCTTTGGTCAAAAACTTTCCTCTACAGTTGGTTCCACTTTTCATGATCCAGTCCTCTATAGATCAGTTGTTGGGGCACTCCAGTATGCTACCATTACTCGTCCTGACATTACCTTCTCAGTTAACAAGGTATGCCAATTTATGCACAATCCTCTTGATACACATTGGAAGACTGTCAAACGGATACTTAGATACCTGAGTGGTACTCCATCCTTTGGTCTCTCCATCAAACCATCTTCCAACTGTCATCTCTCTGCATTCTGTGATTCTGATTGGGGTTCAGACCCAGATGATCGTTGTTCCACCTCTGGCTTTTGTGTCTATCTTGGAGGAAATCTAGTCTCTTGGTCATCCAAAAAGCAACCCGTGGTTAGCCGCTCCAGTACAGAGGCAGAATACAGATGCCTTGCCTCTACCATCACTGAAGTTATGTGGCTTCGCTCTTTATTGTCTGAACTTCGTGTACCCTTGCCTAAGGTTCCTACCATCTATTGTGACAATTTAAGTGTTGTTCTTCTCACAGCCAATCCATTATTTCACTCTCGAACAAAGCATTTTGAACTTGATCTTCACTTTGTTCGTGAGAAAGTGCTTCACAAGATTGTCTCTGTTTCTCATGTTCCTGCCACCCACCAGATAGCAGATGGCCTTACCAAAGCCATATCTAACAGCTCATTCTCAGAATTCAGGACCAAGCTTCGTGTCTCTGACTCATCGACCACTGTGCTTGAGGGGGGATGAAAGAGTATAAACAGTTTTCTGTTTTCTGTTATTCAGTTGTAACTAATTCCATATTTAGTGGGTTGTTATAGCACAACTATATATACTGTAATGTACCATTTATCTGTAACTGAGTTTTCATATTTTCTGATAATAAAATCAGATACCAATTTCTTATTCCTTCTTCTCCTTCATTTCTCTTTCTTGCACTCTGGTTTGATACCTTTCAAGATGCATTATATAGAATCTTGGTTGGTAAACCAAAGGACCTTAGGGTAAATTCAACCGATCTGTAGTTTTTTTTTATTATTATTATTACTTTGAATATATGATTTGATTTGGATACTATCTCTATTTGGATACCATCTCTGTCTCAGGACCAAAGTGGTATAGCTCATTTATTGGTTCTGAGTGACTTATCGACTGATCTGTGTGGGAATGGTTTTGCAGACCTTAGACAACTTTATGTACCAAGTGCCTTTTTGGATTCTAGTTTGATTAATGTTAATCTTGTGAGTACTCTGCGTCTATGATTTAAGTAAATTCCTATAAACTTGCATTATTTAAATTAACATTAAGAATCTATCCTAAATTGAATCTAGTTGTATAATTGAATTAAAATAGAATCTGTAACTTGTTACTGCTTCTGGTTTGATTTTGAAACCTAGTCTATTAGTGTTATATTGATATAATATTTTACGTGACATTATATTTTACAAATATTTGATTTGGACTGATCAGTGTAAAAGAAAAAAATGGTTTTTTATCATTTTTCTAGCCTAATTCTGATAGTGTCTCAAGTAAACCTTGAGTTGACCTGTTCTTGATCCATGTTTCTGTGTAAGAAAAGCAAAATTAGTTTCTCTGAGAGCTTTGGTCCAACAATAATACCTTGGATCTTCCCATTGATTTTATGTTTACAATTTTGAATTTTGCTTCCAAAGTTTGATGCTTTTTGCATTATTATGGAACCCCATCATGCATTTGTAGGGGAGTTTTATATCTGATTGTTGGACAATTTAGGTGCTATGCTTATTTAGGTGCTGTATGAGTTGGAGAATTCTAGAAGTTGGGTTGCGCTACATGTTGCTGATAATTGTTGTTTTCATTATCGTAGAGTAAGTTTTGATTTACTTGTTTAAACCCAATTTTGAATCATTGTACTTTCCACGAATTATAAACCTTTTTGAGTTGGAAGACATTGTTTCGTATGTCTTTTGATGAGCTTTGGATTCTGCACCCTTTACAATCATAATTTCTATCATATTGCAGCGGCTATTGCTGAAGATTATGGAGGACTAAAATTGTGTGGAAGAGATTTTATATTGTCTAAAAGATTACAAAAGAAGAAATAGACAAAAGGATCAACTTAGATGGGGAAAACGAGATCTATATTGACTAATGGACTTAACATTATTGTACCATCTTGATCATTTTTGTCACCTTGAATAACAATTACTACTTACTATCAGTACACATAAGTTTTGTTCTTTTCACTTTGTGACACTTGTGGTTTGACAGGATGAACTTGAGAGTATCATTTTCTTGTCTTATGATATCAGATTTTGTCACCTTTAGGGTTTGCATATACTAATCTCTTGATGTATTTGATATTGAAAAATTACAAAAAGCTTAATAAAAATCAAGTATAGGTTTTTTTTTAACAAAAAAAAATACACATTAAATTTTTAGAAGGTCCATGGGCTGGTCCTAACCCATAGGACTATTGGCCCATGCGAGCCAATATCATTGTGGGTTTTTTGACTCTAACTCACACGAGCTAGGGTTAAATAGACTGAGCTGATCTATTTTGACAGCTCTAATTATATATCTATAAAGTCGTCCCCCCCAAAAAAAACAAAGTTCAAAACCATTGCATTCATTTTGAATGAATAAATAAGTGGTGGGTTTTTGCATCAAATTATATTTTTTTAATCATTATCTATTTTTGTTTCTTTCAAGACTTAATGAAGTGATATATAAATTGATTGGTGATGTGTTTTAAGATGGAATGGAAAAAAAATTATTACTTGTGGAAAGCTAGACCCATTGTCCCTCATAGGTTCCAGATGATCCATTTTTATCCTTTCCCCCTATATCTCAATGTATTTATTTTGTTATCTCTCTCTGTTTTTATCTTACTTATTTTCCCTTTTATTTTTCTTCTCTTATTTCTTTTTTTTTAATCTCTCTATTTTTTTAAAAAAATTTAATGTATTTTTATTTTTACTTTCTTATTATTTTTCTTTTACGTTATTTTCTCCTTTATGTATTTTTATTTTCATTTTTTATTTTATTCTTCTTAATTATTTATTGTTACATTTTCATTTTAGTGTTATTTATATTTTTTTAATTTTAATTTTATCCTTTTTTTTCCTTATTCTTTTTTATTTCAATTATCTATCACCAACCAAAAATAGTTTAGGATAAAAGTGATGTTGATATTGTTGATATTATTGATATATCCAATTTAGTGGTAAACTTGACTAATAGTAAGTATAATTATCCCCTTAAATATAACTTACATGTAGCACGATCAACTTACATTTGTATAACAATAATAAGTCTTACACAAATTTTAATCTTTAACTTTTGTGTATCTAACCACCGTTATAATATTTTTAGAATTAATAATTAATCAATAAATATTACCTAATAAATTATAATCTCAAATTCACAAAAATCAACATTTAAGATATGATGTAAAACTTATACCAGTATAAGTTGATTCTGCCTCAATTTACTTATAACATAAAACATAAATATTATTTTTGAATATGTTTGTATAAGTTTTTATTTTAAGTAACACATAACTTTATGTGATTTAAATACAATATGCAGATTTTTCATTTACAATAAATATTTATACATCTTATATCGGTAATTATGTGTTTACGTATAATTTTTTCTTTATAACTTAAATATTAATATGTCTTAATGTAAAATTTTCGTTCCAAGTAAATGCAAATTTTATTTTTGTGATTTATATATTAATATAATTTAATAGAAATATTTACCTTTACAATTTACATATTGAAATGATTTTATATAAAAAATTCATATATATATATATATATATATATATATATATATATATATATATATATATATATATATATATGTAAATATTTACTTCAATATTTAATCAAAGAATTTGCAACTTTTAAATTTTTTAAATGTGGCTATCTTTAATTCCTTAATAGAAATTAAAAGAGTACATGATAATATTAAGTATGGTTTTTTTTTTTTTAACATTTAATGGAAGATAAATTTTCATATTTGAACGATTACAAAATTATATATAAATTTTTCGTCAAAAATTTACGAAAACTGTATTAAAAATTATTTTATTTAAAAAAAATATCAATAGGTTATTCTATTGTAATTATTCCACAGGTTATCCTACCCATAACAATACAGCATTACTCGGGCAATGGTTTTTTTTTCATTAACACTACGAGAAAAGCATCTTATATTTATTCAGGCTAACTTTCTGCCCCGATTAAAATCAGAAGTATTGTTAATTGTCCAAATACAATTATTATTACTATTATTATTTTAATGTTACTATTATTAGTGTAAAATTGTTGTCTAGTAAATATATAATTACTAGTATTAATTGTTACTTGTAACAATATTGTAATACTGTATTTTTCATTTTAACCTCTAATCGTTTATTTTTCAAAATCATTAACAGTAATTACTCATTTAAAAATATAAAAGTAAATAAAAAAATTAAGTATAACTAAGTTAAATATAAATATACTCATTAATTTCTTCCACACAAGGCACAGACCTATCTAAAGAGGAAAAATGAAAAAACAAATCAAACGTAGGACGGTACTGAACCATGCGTCTGAAAAAATCAATTAACATGGAACAATTATAAGTTTTAGCATTGATGCATCCAGCATTCTCAACCATGAAAGTAAAAATGTACATCCTCTTGCCTCTTCCCCTTATTAAATAACACAACCGAAGAAAAGGGGGCAGTTGGCCACAGACCTTGGTTCCATCTCACAGTCGGCAACAACATGAAATTGAAAGGAATAATAACCTTACACATTTTCATACCCAAAAAAATGGAAAATTTTGTCGTTTGGCATAGCCAAGAAGAGTTCCTAAATTATTAAATTTAGCAATTATAAAAGAAGGATTAAGATGAGAACAAGACTGTATGTGATTAAGATGCAGCTGATTCCTTAGCAATCTTCTCCGCCTTTGCAATGACCTCTTCAATACCGCCAACCATGTAAAATGACTGCTCTGAGAGGTCATCGTATTTGCCATCCAACACACCCTGTCAGTTACATAATAACAGGAATCATCAGTCATGCATTAGTTCAAAAAAAGAATCAAGTTAAAAATGTTATGGATTGGAGTATGACAGAAACAGATGCAGCCATCCTAAAAAATTGAAACAAAACTTAAGACGGCCAAAATAACTACTTTTAATTTCAATAATGACGTGCAAGCAAAGTGAAAATTAACCCTAAGAATAAGCCAAAATTATTGAAAACAAAGTTCTAAGTAAATAAGAAAAATATGGAATCCAGACAGCTTAAATCAATTGGCACAGATTAGATAGTAAAGTGCATGAAGTCGCCCCCTATTAGCAGCCTTTTATTTTATATGAAATTAAACATTTCAGAAAATCTCGGGGGAGGGGGGAGACACAATTTCACTTTCCAGGTGCAGCTTATTGGAAATTAATTTTGATATCTTAATGTAATAAATTGAATATTAATTTCACTTTAGTACATACCTGGTGCAGCTTATCGGAAATTAATATTCAATTTAAATTAACATATCAAAATTGATTCTAATAGGCCAAATGAGATTAAAACAACCAAAGTCTTTGCCCACTAGACGAGGCAAAAAGAGATTATATGACCCAAAAATAGTACATACCTGGAAGCTGTTAATGTTCTCCTTCAACTCAACATATTTTCCTGGGGCACCAGTGAAGACTTCAGCCACATGGAAAGGCTGGCTTAAGAATCGTTGAATTTTACGGGCACGGGCAACAGTCAATTTGTCGTCTTCACTGAGCTCATCCATTCCCAAAATAGCAATGATATCTTGAAGATTCTTGTAATTTTGAAGAACTTTCTGTACACCACGAGCAGTTTCATAGTGGTCCTCACCCAAAATAAGTGGGGAAAGCATACGAGATGTGGAATCCAAGGGGTCAACAGCAGGGTAGATACCAAGCTCGGAGATCTATTCAATATCATCAAAATCAAATTCTCTAGCTAATGATAACAAAAAAATCAGTGCAATAACAACTTTAAATAACACAATCAAACCTGTCGTGATAACACAGTTGTAGCATCCAAGTGAGCAAAGGTGGTAGCAGGAGCAGGATCTGTCAAGTCATCAGCAGGCACATAGATAGCTTGGACAGAGGTAATGGAACCCTTCCTGGTTGTTGTAATACGCTCTTGAAGACCTCCAAGATCAGTAGACAAGGTTGGTTGGTAACCAACAGCAGATGGAATACGACCAAGCAAAGCAGACACCTCTGAGTTAGCCTGCATGATACATCATAATGTAAAATGAACAATAATAACAGGAACAACGTCCTGAACAGAAGAAAAGTTATCCAGGATAATTTTTCCAAAGGGCCCATACTTGGGTAAAGCGGAAAATGTTGTCCACAAAAAGAAGCACATCTTGCCCTTCAGCATCACGGAAGTGTTCAGCAACAGTAAGTCCAGTAAGACCAACACGAGCACGAGCACCAGGGGGCTCATTCATTTGACCATATACAAGAGCACATTTGCTGTCACTCTGATTCCATGAAACAAACATAGTTGACAAATTTGTAAAATTAAAATATTATGAAGAATATTGAAAATGTATCCCAAACAGCATTCTGTTCACCTGCTTATCACCAAGCTTAATGACACCACTTTCAATCATTTCTCTGTACAAGTCATTACCCTCTCGGGTTCGTTCTCCAACACCAGCAAACACGGAGAAACCACCTAATCAATGGAAACAGTCAGTATAGAGTATAGAAAGGTAAAAGAACATCTAACCAAGAATAAATTAAGTGCATCAAGCACATACCGTGAGCCTTTGCAACATTGTTAATAAGTTCCATAATAAGTACAGTTTTTCCTACACCTGCACCACCAAACAACCCAATCTTTCCTCCTCTTTGGTATGGTGCAAGAAGGTCAACAACCTGCACTTATGCAAAAATGGTACCCAGTCATAACACAGACATCAACAATGAGGAATTGAGATAAAATGCATACAAAAAGAAAGAAAGAAACAAAAGAAGAAAAATACCTTGATCCCAGTAACAAGAATCTGTTGTTCAGTTGCTTGATCAACAAAAGCAGGAGCTTCTCTATGAATGGGCAAGTAATGCTCGGTTTCTAGGGCAATTGACAAAAATTACAATCAGTTAAAACACCCCGCCAAAATGATAAAAAAAAGATCTTATCTACTGATCGGATATAAAAAGGCTTTATGGATTTCTTACTGAGGTCACCCTTCTCATCGATGGGCTCTCCAATAACATTCATTATACGACCAAGGGTAGCCCTACCAACAGGAACCTAAATGGAACGCATACAGTGTATTAGGAAAAAGAAAATAAAAGCTGATCAAAACTAAAAAATAAAAAACAGATCAGAAAAATCCATGGTTGCAAAATACGAGTCCGCAAAAAAAAAAAAAAAAGAGATTGGACCACTTGAACTAGATCACAGGAACAACGTCCATATACTGATTTAGACACTGACAAAAGCAATTTGTAAACAATAAGACCATAAAGTGAGTCTAATTTAAATTCAGCTTAAAAAATACAAAGAATGCTGCAAGACATATTATGTAATTGAAAGTTACCCACATCAAACAATGAACCATGAATAGAAACAATACGTTAGTTTCAAAGTACAAAATTACATAACAGTGTAATGATCAAAAGACGACCATTTTCGGCACACTAATTTCATATCTAAACTGTAGTAGGAAGCAGATGACCAATCAATTAATAGACAAAATGGGGTTCTTTCAACCATCAAACAGTGACAAACTCGCATACATCTTCACACTAAATAAACCAAAAATAAAACATCAAATCAATTCATTTTTTAAAATAAATCTTTACAACCCATTTGTTGATTTCAAAAGAGGGAATAAAACTCAGATCCACAAGACAAAACCTAACGCTTCAAACAGCAATGGTCTAAAAATCAGATATTCCAATCCAAACAGGTACCAACCAAGTCAAGATTTTTCAGAAACCCCAACTCGGCTACCAAATCAAATTAAACTACTAGCTAAAACATGTAAATTTATACGAATAAGTGGAAAGTGATTAAATATTTACGGTAATAGGGGAGCCAGTGTTGAGCACGCGCCACCCTCTAACAACTCCTTCAGTGGCATCCATAGCAATAGTTCGAACAACTCCCTCACCCAAATGCTGCGCCACCTCCAACACCAGCCGGGAAGAATGATCAATAACCTCAAGCGCGGTCAGGATCGGAGGCAAACCCTCTTCGAATCTGACATCGACGACGGCACCAATGACCTGGCACACTTGGCCGATCGCACCCTTGCCGGTGAACTCATCGGTGATCTTGCCGCCGCCGGCGGGTTCCTTCTTTGCCGGAGGTGGAGAAGGAGGGGCAGCAGCCGCCGCGGCCGAAGTGGCATACTCGGCGACGCGGTTGAGGAGGTAACCGTACGGTGAAGCACGGCCAGAGGAAGAGATCCTCGATGTCGAGGAAGAAATCGAGGGTTTCGATGTAGATCGACGAAGGGAAGATCGAATCAGAGACGATACGAGTCTGCGTGAAGCCATCTTCAGAGAGAGGAGAGAGAGAGAGTGTGTGTGAAGAGGGCTAGGGTTAGAAGAGTGAGAGAGTGTCACTATATTATGCAAAACCAAAACCTACAATTGCTCCAAAAATGGGGATGTTTGCATTTTCGCCTCGATTCTTTTTTTATTTTATATTTTGGTCCTCTCAGGTTTTGGTTTTACTGCTTTAGGGTGGGACACGTGGACCTCTTGGTCCAGGTTTTATGGGATGTTATTTGTTTTCTGCATGCGAGTCTGTCGATTAAGGCTTTTTGACTTTGACAAGGTTTTGAGTTACATGAGTGACATGCCACCGCTTCTACTTTCACTCTCAACTCTCAACTCCCAAGATCTACTCTAAACTCTCTGCCTAATTTTCTCCACACAAATGGGTGAAATTTTTTGCAACTTAGGGGCAAAAATTTGTAATTCTTTTTTAAATAGTTTTTTTTAATAACATATAAATAATGCGAATTAGCTAATTTTATTTTTATCAAGAATTAGGTCTGATTCTTTTATGTATAGAGAAGTATGTGTATATGATATACCCACAATTGATATACTAATTTAATAAAATCCAAATTTATTATTCAATATTTTTATCATGAAGACAATCAGTGCCAGAATTTGGCTATTTGATCCTTTTGTCCTTTTTTAATTTAAAAATTATCACTTTGTCCAATCTTAAAAATATACATCAATCTGTCTTTATTTGACTGTTGACCAAACTTTATACTCAAGTAAATCAAATATCATGAGTTTATACTCGAGTATATGACCCAGATACTTGAATATTTGTTGTTCCACACAATATACTCGAGTATATGAGCATGTATTCGAGTAGATTGCATGAAAACTTTTTACAAGAATTTTTCAACATGTAGCTCTCAAAAAGTTATGTGAAATAAAGAAGCACCTGATTCGGACCCCCGAGTCAAAAGTTATGACATTCTGAAGTTTTATTATAAAATTTTCAAAAAATTTGTAATGCCAATAGATTTTGTAATACCTACAAAGCTCATCTTCAAGTTACTCGAGTTAAGTCTAATATTATGAATATATAATTATAAAAACTTGTTTGATCTAAAAAATCTTGTGGAAAAAATGTAACCGTAAATTTTTACTTTCCACCAACTATCAAATGAGTTAAAAAAATTTCCACGAGACTTTTTTGATCAAACAAGTTTCTATATTCATATACTCATAATATTGGATTTGACTTGGGTAACCTGAGAAGGAGCTTTGTGAGTATCACAGAACCTATTTTGCATTACAAAATTTTAGAGCAAGGCTTCGAAAAGCCATAACTTTTGACTTTGTATTCGAATCAGGTGCTTTTTGTTTTGATTCCACATAACTTTTCGAGAACTACGACTTAAAAAATTTGCATAGAAAATTTTCGCGCAATATACTCGAGTACATGTTCATATACTCAAGTATATTGCATGGAACAGTAAATACTCGAGTATCTGGGTTATATACTCGAGTAAATATTCAAAAAAACCCAGATATTAAATATTTACTCGAGTATAGACCCATATACTATAGTACTTGCTGTTATACTCGAGTATATGGGTATGTACTCGAGCATATTTCGCGGTCAATGGTCAAACAAGGCAAATAGGTGAAGTATTTTGAAATGGGGGCAAAGTGGTGCTTATTTTGGTTAAAAGGGGCACAATGGTAAAATAGTCGTCGGAGCTATACCATATGTAAATTATTATTGAAAAATTCATGTGTATCATTTTTGGCTTTAATATTTCTACAATTAATACAAATAACTTATCTACACTCACTTCCGAAATGACGTCATTTTATGTTGAAAGATTAAAAAATTATAATGAGAAAGATTATTATAGCCCTAAAATAAATTATAATTACAAAAATATCTTAATTTCTGCTCCAAAATCATATCATTTTGGGCTCAATATAGGTAATTTATATATATTGACGGGCAGAAAAAAAAACCAACTCATAATTTATTCCACAAAAGATAGAAAATCATTATAAAAAATTGGAATTTTCATAAATTGGTTACATATTTCTTTCTGCGGTGATTGATAGTGAAAGTTGTTGAAGCTTAAAATGATTTAAGCATATCAAACCTCTTCTCTTAAAGCCGTTCATAGTAACGAATTGTATAGTAGAACGAGAAGTAAACTTAGCTCAATGGATTAGTAATTCTATCTGTGTTTAAAATGTATAGTAGTGCAACTTCCTTTCTTTGAGTTTTACATGTACATATACACATCCCTTGTATAAAAATTACTAAAAGGCTTACAGAAACATGGCCATCGCTTATTCGCTGGCTGTCTGATGTTTGTGACATTGTCAATCTACGGTTCTGCAACTATTTTAGTTTTCTAAGTTACTTGAACTGCTTTCCTTGCCTGCATGAAATTAATAATAAACGAATCAATTACAGCAATGGATTGGCATTACCTCAATAATGATCATTTTGGCTTTTACTTGTTTCCTCCTCGTCTTTGTTACTTCCCTAAAACCTTTTCAATAGGTTGGGTTCTTGTTTACCTTATTCCTTTAACCTACTGAAATGGTTGAAAGCATAAAAAAATGCTTACCTCTCTATCCCAATCCGTACATGCATTTACTGTAACCAGAGCTATCCCTTGAACAGAAAGTCCACATATGATTCCCATCCAAAGACCCTGGCAATACCAATTTACATTTAAGCGAGCAGGAACACACCAAAACACAAAACACATAAGCAAACACAGCCCCTAACAAATAGAAATTTGTGAAGAGGAGACCTACCATCCCTCCAATATGGAAGACAAAGGCAAATAGGATAGCAGAAGGAATTCCCACAACATAGTAAGCACCAAGGTTTATAAATGCACATAGATTTTGCCAACCACACCCTCTGGCAGCTCCTATAGAAGCCAAACCATATATTGAAAGGAAACCATTAGTTAATTGGTAACATAGGCATTTATGAGCAACTTAATAATCATATGATCACAAGATTTCATTGTTGTGAAGAATTAGAACCTGAAAGCACACACTGAAAACCATCCAAGAAGTCAGACAGCGCCAGCAGAAGCATCATCTTTCCAACATATTTGATAACTTCATCTTCATTGCTATAGAGCTTTCCCCAAACATTCCTCACCAAAATCGTAACCAATCCTACTGTTGTACCCTCTAATATGGCAATTACAATCATGACACGGAGAGCCAAAAGTGCACCTTGTGCGTTCCCAGCACCCAGTTCATTTGACACACGAGTGCTTCAGTGACACCGATTAGTCAATAACAAGAACATTAACAGAAGAAAAATCCATGGTAAAAGTAACAACCTTGCAGCACAACTATGCCATTATTATTAAGAAAACAATTATTGTTACTGACCTTATGGCACCGCCAAGACCAACAGAGATCATATAGACCATCCAACATGTATTAAGGCTGCAAAAAAAGGGTACATATGATGGAACCTTGGTCAATTGATTCTTCTTTTCTTTTCTTTTTCCTTCACCAGGATGAGTCTTGAAATAATGTATCAATGTGTTAGCGGTTTACCTTATTGATAATACAGATGTCTCTAGTTGTGGGTCTGGCAGAAGACCTGAGAGAAGAACAACCATCTCAAAGGACCAATATTCGAAACTGTCATTCAAGAAAAAAAAATAGGACATTAAGAAGCAAAAACTGGGAGGCTAAAATCATATAATCTTCAGATTGGGATGTTAGTAAGCAGCCTAAAGATTTGCAGGAGTGTCATATAGAGCCTAGTTTAGCCTTGGAGTGTTGTCTTTCACTACACTAGTTGTGTCTTTCTACCAATCTCTTACCCTCTATAATTATTCTGTATAGCATTGAAACGAGATTTCTGCAACTAAAAGGACTTGAAAATTTTCTCCCAATTAGTGTATTACAGTTTGCAGCAAAATGGATATTCTACACCATAAAATGCTTTTTCTTCTCGGTTCCATTAGGAGAAGGATGGATGAAAATTACCATATCATAACTGCTGAAGCAACTGCAAGCTTTATAAAGCTGAGAATATCATTCAAGGCCTCTTTGGAAACCCCATTCCAAGTTGATGCACAAGCTGTAGCTAAATTTATGTAAATGAGCAACAGGAACACATTAATCCAATAGGACATGCTGATTGCCAAGGCCGCTCCTTTGCTTCCTAATTCGTATTCAAAGACAAAAACCCAACAAAAGACAATATGCACTGAAGTTGTGATTCCAGAGCTTATCAGCATTGGAAAAACATTGTTTTGAGTCTGTAGAAATCTGTTGAGGCATTGAAGGAGGCCATAAGCAAAAAGGCCAGGGATCATCCACCTATTAAATATTCCTGCTTCGGTTGATATCTCATGGTCTTGGCCCATTGCTATGAGAAGGTTGCTTGTGTAAAACCAAATTAAAGATAAGGGAATGGTCAAAACTAGAAGGACAAACATTGCCCTTTGTGTGTGAACTCCTAGCATGTGATACTGCCTGGCTCCATAGGCTTGACCACATAGCGTCTCCAATGCACTCCCCATTCCTAACTTCAAAGTCAAATTTGAAAACAGAGAAAGTTCAGAGAAGCTTGCAATCATTGTAATACAAATTCAAGAGGTGAAAGTTACATTAAAATGTTAAAGGATGTAAACATGTGTATACTAGGATTGTAAGTGGCATAATCGATTAGCTTTAAAAGCTCTAAGGAGTTCTCATCAACAAAGTGTTAAGACTCTAGAATTGGCAAGCAATTGGGATTAGTTTAACTTGCATGGAACTTTGTGCAGTGAAGGATTAGAAGATATTAAAAATTGAACAAAATGCAATCAAGAACAAGAATAACATTAACATATCATGAACTGAAGGACAATTACCCTACCCCAAGTTTTGAACCAGTTTCTTTTGCACTTGGGAATTATCCAATACAGCTAAGGAAAATCCAAGTTATTTACAGAAATTGAACAAAACCCACTTACCAAAACACTATAACCAGTGACTGAGGCGAAGGAGTTACCCAAGGAAGCACCTGAAAGTGGTAGTTTCCCAAGATGGCCAACAAACATAATAGATATCATTTGTAAGCTATATTGAAGCAAACTAACTGCAATAAGGGGCCCAGCTAGCCATAGTTGCTTTTTAGCTTCCTCAACAATATCTTCTCTGCCCCAACAACATTGTTCAGATGTTGGGGAATCGAATTCATGGTTTTTATGTTGGTCTGGACACAGCGGAGTCTTAAGAATCGACTTGCCAGCTCTTTCCATTGTCAAGCAGAGGACAAGGTGCATTCTAAAATTCTAAAGATATCTGCCTTTTGTATTCACGTCTTTTCGATCAATCAATAGCGTAATAGCAAGGAATTTTGTTGCATAGTATATGATAAAATATGATAGTATATGAACTAATAGTAAGCTATCATTGAATTTTAATACTATATAGCATTTGGCATGATATTGTATAAAATAATATATTGTATAAGATAATATCATCTAGTATTTAGTAATGTACTGTATAATATTATATATGATAAAAATAAATATTTTTAATAAAAATATCCTTTAATAAAGAATTTATATAATTCTTCAAAAAAATGTCACATGATATTAATTTTTATAAAAATTTATTGATGAGTGTGTCTAAAATATAAATTTAATTTTTATAAAAATAAAAATATTCAATATTTTAAAAATAATATATTGAAAAATTAATTTTTATTTTAATGGATTATTATCAAAATAATATATTAATTTATGAAAATCACATTGGTCAACGACGTTAATGCATCAATCTCTTTTCAGGCTTTATCCCTCATCCTTAGGCCAGATTAAGTTATATATCGTTTTGATGTATTAAGGGATTATGCTGTATAAGCTTATACTATACGATGGTCACACCAAACAACTAAAAATATCATAACATATAATATAAACTTATACTATCCTGCTCTTATGCCAATCATTCAAAATATTAAAATCGAAATATTAGAACCATTTACAAGAGGACAAAATTCTGTCTTGTAGCATAGCATAAAATAAAACTAATGATGATTTTTTAAATGTGCTCGAGGCTCGAGGTAAGATGTCCATGGCTTAAGATTAGATAATAATCAATCTATAGTAATTTAGGATTTTATATGAAACCCTTGTTTTTAATTTATGGATTTAGTGTTTTGTCCTTATTATTTTCTAATTTGAAAAATGTTGTACCTGTACATGAAACGACCCCTTCTCCTCCATAGTTGGTCATCGCAGTATCTTCCCTGTCATCACCTTCAGCATCTGTGCAAAGAACGTGGTGCAGTACAAGGTTTTCTCCTTTGTTTTGACAAAGGGCAGTAATGTGAGTTCTGGTTCTGGATTTAGTTTTTTTTTGTTTATTTGTTTCCCCTTTTTCTTCATTGTTTATCTATTTCATTTCAAGGTGCCTCTCAGAAAAAAACTTCGTTTTTTGAAGGGGTGTTACTGTTTGGGAAGGGGTTATAGGTAGTTGGGTTTTCCTATCCTCGAAATTTGTTAGTTCTTCTTTATGTTGTGTTGGTCTTGTGGGTTTGTCTCAATCTTGTCTACCATAATGTTCACTACTTGTGTATCTCACTTAAATGTAATTGCAATCTCCTCTGCTTCTTGTTTGGTTTGCTTGCATCTGCTCTTGTTCCTTTTTTACATAGCTCTTTGCAGAAAAATGTAATTTTGATTTTAGATTAAGGTACCCTATTGAATTCCATTTAATGCCCAAATCCTCAAAAGTGTTCTGAACCAGTCCATTCATGGTTTCAGTCATGGAATCTTGTTAATCTTGGCCAGATATCCATCTGAGTCTAGTTGCCTCATCCTCACCATTCTGTTCTGTTGATGAACATTATTATCAGTGCTTCTAAATTGTAGCAAATGCAGGTTGTGATGATGGGTTTTCGTTAATTTTGTAGGATTGCCCTCCATAGTTATCAATTGTAGGCAATACTGTTGTATTGGGATAACCAATCCAAGTCACCTGCATGTCAAGCAAATTAAGTTACAATTTTGCAGAGATCAAATTAAATACATTCAGCATATATGGTAGCATAATACATGTAGTCATGAATGATACATGCCACTTCATATCATAAGATTGATGACTAAATTTACCGCTGCATATATACATGTAGAAAGCTATATGTAACATCAAAACAAAAGCATAGGTGAATGGTGGCTGTGATTTCATCTCAATATTTACCGCTGCATATAAATGTGTATGGTTCCACATCTTTATCATGTTTGTCTCGTAGTGAATATAACATACAAAATACCATGCAAAGCCCAAAGCCCTGTTATATATATCGACTCATCTCTCTATCTCGACTCAGTACGTCTCTTCTTGATCGATGGAAGAGAAAAGCATGGAAGAAAGTCTATTAGCGAAAGAGATAGAGCACAACACAGTGACTAATGTACATCAGAGAGTTACATGGGATGCTTTCAGTCTAGAAATGAGGAGGATTTGCCACATAGCAGGGCCTATGGTGGCTGTGATTTCATCTCAATATTTGTTGCAAGTTGTCTCAATCATGATAGTTGGTCATCTCGGTGAGCTCTATCTCTCTGGCGCTGCCTTAGCCATCTCCATTACTGCGGCCACAGGTTTCAGTTTTCTTGTAAGCACCACTCTATCAGATCTACAACTTTTTTCTATATCACTAAGAAACCCTCACAACTAATGACCAACTGAGAGATGATATAACAGTATTTTAATGATTCTACATTTGTGACACTCTGACCTATGCTTTTTAATGGGAGGAAAAAAGAAAATTGACATTACGCTGGAATGATGGGCGACTGTATATGTAGTAGCCCAGGAAAATTGACATTAATTTGTATTGCATTCTAGTTATCTTAATTTAATGAATTTTCATATTAAAATGATAACAGAATAGTCTATTAATTATGTAAAAATTACTCAACCTTCGGTGCATATATTAATTATAAGTTCATCCCTGCATTGTTTTCCTTTTTCCTCAGAATCATCATTATTTTCTCGTCTTAGTAACTTGGTGCATTGATGATTTGCACATGATAACAGATGGGGATGGCTTGTGGACTTGAAACTATTTGTGGACAGGCTTACGGAGCTCAGCAATATCAAAAAATTGGCATGCAAACATACGCTGCTATATTCTCTCTCATTTTGATTTGTCTTCCCTTGTCTTTACTCTGGATAAACATGGAAAATATACTAGTTTTCATAGGCCAGGACCCTCTAATTGCACATGAAGCAGGGAAATTCACGATTTGGCTTCTTCCAGCACTTTTTGCACATGCAATTCTGCAGCCATTAGTTCGATATTTTCAAATACAAAGTTTGCTTCTTCCCATGTTTATAAGTTCTTGTGTCACTCTTTGTATCCATATACCTCTTTGTTGGGCTTTGGTATTCAAAACTGGACTGAATTATGTTGGTGGAGCCTTAGCATTTAGCATTTCAATCTGGTCAAATGTGATTTTTCTTGGATTATACATGAGATACTCTTCTGCATGTGCAAAAACCCGTGCACCAATTTCTGTGGAGCTGTTCCAAGGAATTGGGGAGTTCTTTCGCTTTGCTATCCCTTCTACAGTAATGATTTGGTGAATCTTCCTATTCAATGGAAATTTTATATTTTCATTTTATCAATTTATGAAGTTGTATTTTCCCCAAAAATTTTCTATCATGTATTATATTGTTTTTCCAAATAGTTTTAATAATGTAATTTTTTTTTTCATGTTGATGACTCGCTAGCGGTTTTAATTGGGGAGTTTTTTTTTTTTTTTTTTTTTCTAATGACTGTAGCCTTGAATATTGGTCATTTGAGCTGCTTGTTGTGCTGTCTGGGCTGTTACCAAATCCACAACTTGAAACTTCAGTTCTATCCGTTTGGTATGTTAGTTACATTTTTTTTTATCCTACATATAAGACTTTTTAATGTCCCCCTTAAACTGCAACTCATGATTTGCAATTTCATCCTGCTTCAAATCTTCTCCTATATTGTGAATTAATGTGATTGCACTAATGTCATTTTTCTGCAGTCTCAATACCATTGCAACTCTGTATACAATACCCTTTGGAATTGGTGCTTCAGCAAGGTTATATCATAATAAACACAATCATTCTACTTTGTTTACGTGTCAATATATATTCTTACATTTGAGTATATATCTAAACTAATTATCCTTTCTCCATTCTGACTATAGCACAAGGGTTTCAAATGAATTAGGAGCTGGGAATCCATATGCTGCCCGTGTTGCTGTGTTGGCTGCGATATCCCTAGCAGTCTTTGAGTCAAGTATAGTAAACGCAACCCTCTTTGCCTGCCGCAATGTTTATGGTTATATTTTCAGCAATGAGAAGCAAGTTGTTGATTATGTCACTGTCATGGCTCCTCTGGTTTGTCTATCTGTTATGCTGGACAGCATACAAGGTGTTCTCGTAGGTAAATGATGCACTTGAGTCACCATAAGTTCTTATAATTGCAGACGTTTTAGTTTTAAGGCTTTTTATAATTTTAATAATTGCAGATGTTTCAGTTTGCATGACATTATGTTTGGTTTATGGTTATTTCCGTTTTGTATTAGTTTTAAGACCGTTGGTGGTCCTTTATTGTCAGTTACTTTTGTATTGCCTGATTAAAAGGCTTGTTAGAAGGATGTGAAAGGGGGACTTTTGATTGTTAAAGAATAATAGTATAGTAGAAAACTTCTGCATTTTCCTGAAAGCCTATTTTCCCTATAATTTTGCATCATTTGGTATCAAAGCTCAGGTTGCCTTAAAGATGGCTGAGCAGGAAAATCGCGGAGGTCGTGGTCGTGGACGAAGAGGTCGTGGCGGCAAAGGACGCAGTCAACCTACCGATGACGATTATTATACTGATGCGAGAGATGCTGAAATTGGATCGAGTTAATTTTCCTGAAAGCCTATTTTCCCTATAATTTTGCATCATTTGGTATCAAAGCTCAGGTTGCTTTAAAGATGGCTGGGCAGGAAAATCCCGGAGGTCGTGGTCGTGGACGAAGAGGTCATGGCGGCAGAGGACGCAGTCAACCTACCGATGACGATTATTATATTGATGCGAGAGATGCTGAAATTGGATCCAAGAACTCGAACAACCTCTTGCAGAGGCACAGTTGCACGGGTCAGAAGGGAGACAGGAATCTGAACTGTCATCTCTAGAGGAAGAGGAGGACGAAAATCCATTTTGGAACCGCGAAAGACCAAGGAGAGGTCGAACCGGTGATCAACCCTTCACATCCAATTTTGGGATGAAGATCGAGATTCCAGAATTTGAGGGATCAACTCACCCTGATGTATTCATCGACTGGTTACACACCGTCGAAAGGGTTTTTGATTTAAAAAACCTCACAGATGAGCAAAAGGTGAAATTAGTGGCAATCAAATTGAGGAAGCATGCCTCAATCTGGTGGGAACATGTCAAGAAACAAAGAATCAGAGACAGAAAGTCTAAGATTCAAAGATGGGATAAGATGAAGAAATTGTTGCAACACAAATTAATAAAATTGAGGAAGCATGCCTCAATCTTGTGGGAACATGTCAAGAAACAAAGAATCAGAGACGGAAAGTCTAAGATTCAAAGATGGGATAAGATGAAGAAATTGTTGCAACACAAATGTTTGCCTGCTCAATACAGACAAGAGGCATTTATTGAGTATCACAATTTCATTTATTGAACATCACAATTTCAGGCAACGTGACCTTACGGTGGAACAATACACCACTGAATTTGATCATCACAATTTCAGGCAACGTGACTTTACGGTGGAACAATACACCACTGAATTTGATCGTCTTCGAATGCGTTGTGACATGGTCGAAGAAGATGAACAAGTGATTGCTCGATATCTAGGTGGATTGCGGGATGAAATTTCTGATGTTGTGTAGCTACAACAGTATTGGTCTTATGAAGATATGTGGTCTTATGAAGATGTGTGCAAACTGTCTTTGAAGGTGGAAGGACAATGTAAAAGAAAAGGGTGACAGTTCGAAGTTTCAATCAAGATTTCCTAGAAAGGAATTCGGAGCTAAATCAGTGAGTTCATCAGCAACTTCACCTGTTGAAAGGAGTTCTACGCCTCAAAAAAATATTCCCAACAAGGAAGGGTCGAGTAAAGGAAGTAGTGCAGGGAAGAGATGTTTCAAGTGCTAAGGAATTGGACACTTTGTTGCAGATTGTCCAAATAAACAGATTGTGACGTTTGCAGATGCTCCAATTTTTTATGAAGAACCAATCTATGACAATGTAGATGAACAAGAAGAAACATAAGCTGAAGAGGTAGAAATTCTATGCTGATACCGGAGAATCACTAGTCACTCGAAACATCTTGAATGAGGATTTGGTGAATGATGAAACGTGGCTTCGGCACACCATTTTCCACACCAAGTGCACCAGCGGGGGAAAAGCATGCAGTGTGATTATAGACGGAGGGAGTTGTGAAAACGTGGTTTCTGCCACTATAGTAGAAAAATTGGGGCTAAAAGCAGTAGCACACCCACAACCTTATAAGCTGTCTTGGCTAAAAAAAGGGAATGAGGCGAGGGTAACCAAAAGATGCCTCGTGTGTTTTTCAATTGGGAAAAAATATTCAGATGAGGTATGGTGCGTTGGCAAAAAATATGCAGATGAGGTATGGTGCGATGTCGTTCCTATGGATGCTTGTCACATTTTATTAGGTAGGCCATGGCAATTTGATAGGAAGGCAAAACATGATGGTTTCAAAAATACTTACACCTTCAAAAAGGATGGTCACCTTATTACACTAGCACCTTCAGATTGGAGGAAGGAAGCAAAGAATTCTCTGCTGTCTAAGTCAGAAATTTTAGAACTGACAAAATTCACAGATGTAATGCCAGAAGAATTGTCGCCTGGATTACCACCTGAAGAAGTTGACGTCAATAAAGACGACGTAGATTCGAGGGCGCAAATCTTTTCGTAGCGGGGGAGGATGATGCACTTGAGTCACCATAAGTTCTTATAATTGCAGACGTTTTAGTTTTAAGGCCTTTTATAATTTTAATAATTGTAGACGTTTCAGTTTGCATGACTTTCTGTTTGGTTTATGGTTATTTCCGTTTTGTATTAGTTTTAAGACCGTTGACGGTCCTTTATTGTCAGTTACTTTTGTATTGCCTGATTAAAAGGTTTGTTAGAAGGATGTGAAAGGGGGGCTTTTGATTGTTAAAGAATAATAGTATAGTAGAAAACTTCTGCATTTTCTTGAAAGCCTATTTTCCCTATAATTTTGCATCAATAAACCTCTCTCTTGTCTATCCTTAGTAAATTTTATATAGAAGACAAGCTTTCTCTCAACTTGTTTAGTTATGACTTGGTTCAGGGATTGCTAGAGGTTGTGGATGGCAACACATAGGGGTTTATATCAATCTAGGGGCCTTCTACCTCTGTGGGATTCCAGTTGCAGCCTCATTGGCATTTTGGCTAAAACTGGGAGGAAAAGGACTTTGGATTGGGATACAATGTGGTGCTTTTATTCAATGTGTTCTACTTGCTATCATAACAAGTTGCATCAATTGGGAACAGCAGGTATAGCCTCTAACTTTTGATTTGGCTACCATTTTGATTTCGCTTAATAAAACTGAATGCCCATCATGTTGATGTCTTTAGACATTAATTCTAACATGTGGGTATGCCTTTAGGCATTTTGCTTAAGTTTTGTGGTCTAACCAATGCAGGCAATCAAGGCAAAAAAGAGATTATTTGATGGTTCATTTTCAGCAGACAATAGACTAGTCTGAGAAGCCCATGATTAAAGTGCAATTTTCTAATGATGGGGACAATTCTCCATGAATGAGGAGTAGTTTATTCCCCTTATAGGAGGTTTGGAACTAAATATTTATGACTTTTTTTTATTTTGTTTTGTTTTTTTTAGCACTTTCTCGGTTCTACTAGTGCTCAGCTGTTTGTAATGCAAAGTATCATTTACGTGAGTTTATGTGTGTGAACTGATGTTTAATAAGGAGATTATCAAGTATTTAGTGCATTGTACGATATTTTAAATTTAAGTAAATTTTTAAAATATTAATCAAAAGGAAAAAAAATATTTAAGAGAAAAAAATGTTCAAATTTTATTTTTTTGCATTTTTGCATTTTTTTTAAGATTTGTTTTTTTTTAACCAGGCCACTAAAAGATTATTAAGAATAAAAATGACCTCTCTTTTATGTTTTTATTCTTGAGTAAATACATTTTCGGTTCTCAGCAAATTTTACGATGTCCGCTTTAGTTCCTAACAAATAAAAAGGTTATTCGTGGTCTTTAAAAAATTTAAAATGGACTCATTTTAGTCATTTTGAGGACTAACGTGGGTCTTTTTTAAATTTGTAAGGGATCACGATTTCAATTAAATAAGTCTATTTTAAAAATTTTAGTGGTCACGAATACTCTTTTTATTTGCTAAGGACTAAAACGAGCATCATCAAAAAAATATTTACTTTTTATTCTTTAATCCACCCAAGGTGGATTAGGGTGCTCTTTAAGCCCAAATAAACCAAAAATGAAGAAAAAACGAATAGTCTGTGTCAACCGTGAAAGGGGAGATGAGGGTTTGTGTGTGATTCAGAGACTTGATGGCTTGAAGTTATTGGTGATCAATGTTCGATAGATTTTGTTGATTAGAAGGAATCGTGGCACACTTTGGGCTAAGCTTAACTTTCTAGGATTTGAGAATTTCCTCTCACCCTTGCAAACACCAGTGGTTAGACATAATACATTAAAACTTGAGATTGAAAAAAATTAGGGGGTGTTTGGTAGCAAGATTCTTTTAGGATGCATGGGAAAGTAAGAATGGGTATTCCAAAATATTATGTTTGGTAGCATTTTTTAAAAAAATTTGTTGGGATAATTGGATAACTAAGATTCAATTTCATGTATAATCTTAGACCAAAATTTGAAACAAAAATATTACGCAGAAGGTGGTATCGTGACTTCTCCGTGTAAATGAAAAAGGAGATGTGAATATTGTGTCAAAAATAGCCTTGAGTAACACGACAACGCTGCTTCTGGTCTTCTTGCAACACTGCAATCCTAAACCACAAACAATCCCCTCTCATGAGTAAGCTTTATTATATATTATATGAAGAAAATTTTCCTTTTTCAATGTTATATGCAAAGTTTTTCTTACATCTTCGGGTTCTTTGATGGATTGTTTCTTGCTAACAGTAAGATCTTCTGGTTTTGGGATTGTAAGAATTCCCTTCTCTCAATCTATGCTCATTTTGGTTAAGACTGTTGCATAATCCCCTAATATTTTTGTTCCTCATTTCCTTCGATAGAGCATATTAAACTCTTACAAAAGATTAGGTTATATTTGTAATTTAATTCCATTTTCTCAATAATATTTTAACTTTAATCAAATATAAATTACTCGGTAATATTTCGGTCTATTAAACAATTTTTTTTTAATTTTCCTAAAAAACTCACATTTTCAATATTTCCCTAATAATTATATTTTTTTGATAAATTTTTTTTTCCTGTACTAAACATTCTCATAAAAAAATGTAGAATGAATTTAATAACGTTATAAAACTAATAAAATATAATTTATTTTTAAATAGAGTAACTCTAACAATAAGCTGACCCGTGGATGTGACGGGCTGACCCGCTTTACACATCCACAGGATTCGTGTATATTAAATTCCACATCTGTGTCATCTTTGTCTCGTGGTCGAGAACCGCACTCGGACTCGGATGCTCGTACATTTTCGAGTGGAAACAAACATAATAGTACATTGAAATTGACCATAACCATAACAATAAAAGAAAGTAAATATAACATCTAAAATACTATGAAAAGTCCAAAGCCCTGTTATACAGACTCATCTCTCTGTGTTTCGACTCAGTACGTCTCTTGAGTGATGGGAGAGAAAAGCATGGAAGAAACTCTACTAGCGAAAGAGATTGTGACTGAACAACCGAGAGTTACATGGGATGTTTTCAGTCTAGAAATGAGGAGGATTTGCCACATAGCAGGGCCTATGGTGGCTGTGATTTCATCTCAATATTTGTTGCAAGTTGTCTCAATCATGATAGTTGGTCATCTCGGTGAGCTCTATCTCTCTGGCGCTGCCTTAGCCATCTCCCTTGCCTCGGTCACAGGTTTCAGTTTTCTTGTAAGCTACTACTCACCACTTTTTTCTATATCACTGTTCTCCTTCATATACACGCACATGTGATTATTCCCTTACTGTCCCCACTAAGAAACCCTCACAGCTAATTATTCATGTAGTGACCAAACCAACCGATAGATGTTATAACTTATAACAGTATTTTAATGATCCTTTTTTTAATGGGCTCTACACTTTAAAGAAAAAGAAAAAGAAAATTGATATTAGTTTTGTATTGTATTCTAATTATCTTAATTTAATGAATTTTCATATTAAAATGATAACAGAGTAGTCTATTAATTATAAGTTCACTCCTGCAGTGTCTTTTCTTTTTCCTTATAAACCAGACACTTGCACCCAATTTTACCACCCGCAACCCAAAAACATAAATAAAACTAACAACAAAGCTCTAGCTGCCATCTTTTCGTATAGATAATAAAATATCAATTTTACCTGATACCTGGCTTACTTTTATGGTCTAAGTAGCACTATTATTTGAGATTTTTAATGAGGTCCAAATTCACTGATACTTGAAGATATCGGGAAACCACTGAACGACACAAATGACAAAAAATGCTTGTGTTCAGTGTTTAATTTATCTTCTTCATCAACTATTTCTAACATGTTAGCTTGCTCAAAATCATCATTATTTTCTCCCCTTAGTAACTTGGTGCATTGGTCCTTTGCACATGCTAACAGATGGGAATGGCTAGTGGACTGGAAACTATTTGTGGACAGGCTTATGGAGCTCAGCAATATCAAAAAATTGGAGTGCAAACATACACTGCTATATTCTCTCTCATTTTGGTTTGTCTTCCCTTGTCTTTACTCTGGATCAACATGGAAAAGATACTAGTTTTCATAGGCCAGGACCCTCTAATTGCACATGAAGCAGGGAAATTCACAATTTGGCTTCTTCCATCACTTTTTGCATATGCAATTCTACAGCCGTTAGTTCGATATTTTCAAATACAAAGTTTGCTTCTTCCCATGCTTGTTATTTCTTGTGTCACTCTTTGTCTTCATATACCCCTTTGTTGGGCTTTGGTATTCAAGACTGGACTGAATAATGTTGGTGGAGCCTTAGCACTTAGCATTTCATACTGGTCAAATGTGATTTTTCTTGGATTATATATGAGATACTCTTCTACATGTGCAAAAACCCGTGCACCAATTTCTGTGGAGCTGTTCCAAGGAATTGGGGAGTTCTTTCGTTTTGCTATCCCTTCTGCAGTAATGATTTGGTGAATCTTCCTGTTCAAGTGAACTTTCATATATTCATTTAATCAAATTATAAAAGTTTCCTTTTCCCATAAATTTACTATAATCTATTATATTGTTTTTCCAAAATGTTTCTATAATGTAATTTTTTTCATGTTGATGACTGTAGCCTTGAATGGTGGTCATTTGAGCTGCTTGTCTTGCTGTCTGGGCTGTTACCAAATCCACAACTTGAAACTTCAGTTCTATCCGTATGGTATGTTTGTTACATTTTAATTTATCCTACATATAAGACTTTTTCATGTCCCCCTTAAACTGCAACTCATGATCTGCAATTTCATCCTGCTTCAAATCTTCTCCTATATTGTGAATTAATGTGATTGCACTAATTCTTTTGTCATTTTTCTGCAGTCTCAATACCATTGCAACTCTGTATACAATACCCTTTGGAATTGGTGCTTCAGCAAGGTTATATCATGATAAACACAATCATTCTACTTATTTTACGTTTCAATATATATTGCTACATTTGAGTCTATATCTAAACTAATTATCCTTTCTTCTCTCTGACTATAGCACAAGGGTTTCAAATGAATTAGGAGCTGGGAATCCACATGGTGCCCGTGTTGCTGTGTTGGCTGCGATGTGCCTTGCAGTCATTGAGACAAGCATAGTAAGCGGAACCCTCTTTGCCTGCCGCAATGTGTATGGTTATATTTTCAGCAATGACAAGGAAGTTGTTGATTATGTCACTGTCATGGCTCCTTTGGTTTGTCTATCTGTTATACTGGACAGCATACAAGGTGTTCTCGCAGGTAAACCTCCCTCTTGTCTATCCTTAAGGCTTTTGTTTGGGAGTTTGAAGGGCAAGAGAAGGAAATAAATTGCAGGAAGAGGGAGAGGAAGGAAAGGAAGGAAAATGAAGGGTATTTTCTTCCCTTGTTTGGGTGTTAAAATCCCCCAAATTGGAGGAACATTAATTTTAAGAATTAGAATGGGTTTGTGAAAATCTCTAAATCCTTCCCTTTACTTTTTTAAAATCACAAACAAGGGAAGAGATTAATAAAACCCTTCCCTTCCCTTCCCTTCCCTTCCTTTCCTTTCCTTCCTAAAACTAACACCCAACAAGCCCTAAGTAAATTTTATATAGATGACAAGCTTTCTCTTTATTAGTTTTGCTATGATTTGGTTCAGGGATTGCTAGAGGTTGTGGCTGGCAACACATAGGGGTATATATCAATCTAGGGGCCTTCTACCTCTGTGGGATTCCAGTTGCAGCCTCATTGGCATTTTGGCTAAAACTGGGAGGAAAAGGTCTTTGGATTGGGATACAAAGTGGTGCTTTTGTTCAATGTGTTTTGCTTTCTACCGTAACAAGTTGCATCAATTGGGAACAGCAGGTTTGCCCTCTAAACTTTGATTTGGCTACCATTTTGATTTCGCTCAATAAAAGTATAAAACCGAATGTCCTTGTTGAGGTCTTTAGGCAATTTGTTTAAGTTGTGTGATCTAACCAATGCAGGCAATCAAGGCAAAAAAGAGATTATTTGATGGTCAATTTTCAGCAGATAACAGACTGGTATCTGAATCCCATGCTTAAGGGGCAATCTTCTAATGATGGGGACAATTCTCCATGAGTGAGTAGCTTATTCCCTTTATTGGAGGTTTGGAACTAAAGATTAATGACTTTTTTTTTTTTAGTGGTTAGGTATAAGAACTTATACGTTGGTTTATGTGAACTGTTTTTAATGCAAACTATCAATCATGGGTTTTATAAGAGTTATGTTGAAGGAAAAGTAATTCTGTAATGTTATAGAGATTCGTTTTGCGTGCCATAATTTTCTTTTTTTCTTTTTTTAGTTGAGAGAATCTTCAAAGCCCAAAATATCATGATTGAAAGAGGTGGATTAGGGTACTATGTAAGCCCAAAATAAACCAAAAAATGAAGAAAAACCAAATAAAAGGGAGATGAGGGTTTGTGTGTGATTCACAGACTTGAGATATCGTTCGGCGTAATGGCGATTTGGATACGTCTGGGTTGCGATGCTTGATCCAGGGATGATGTTTGAATCACATTCATGATTTCTGTTTGAATCCTTGCTGCTTAAACTCCTTGTAGAACTTTTTTCTTCACATATAACGAATAACTTTAATAATATATACATTCATAAACTAACATAATACCATAATGATAATGATATTATTTAAACTAATAATGTTGAACTTACCGTATACAAACCTTCCCATGCTTTTATTCACTTTACTAGACAGAAAGTTGAAAATTCATGATATTGATTGTTGAAGACATAAGAAATTCAACTTACAAGAGATTAAATTTTCCCTTCAACCTACTTACCCCATAATTTTCTTCAATCAACCTTGCCAATTCATTGTTTAAATCTCTCGAAATTGCCATATTCGATGTTTACCCTTAATTGCCTTTGGGTTGAGCAATCCATGTTCTCTTCCGTAACATCTCATAATTTTTTTTTAATATAACATCTCATAAATTTTAAGTATAACTAAATTATTTCATATTAATTAAGATTTTTGCTGTGAATAAAATTTTGAATAAGTGAAATAAATTAATATTTTATATCTAACATCCTTTAAGTTTTAAATATATTTATTTTAAATAAATTATTTTATTAATTTATACGCCATATGAAACTCAATTTAATTCTCCAATATTTTAAAAAAGTATCTAAACTCCAAATTCTAGGAAAATGAAATTCAAACTTATTTTGATAAATATAGTTTTATCCCTAAAATTAAGAAAATTATATTAAAAGCCCAAAAACTTCAAGTTTTTTTAGAGGATAATTAATACTAAGAAATTATTTAAAACTAATTAGAAATTTTTAGGATTAGAATCATCTTCCTTGAAAATATAATATAGAATATTATTTAATAAAAAAGGAATTTGGATGCGGCCTCCGGCTTCCCCCGGAAGTCAGAGAATTGGTACGAGAATAGGCATAAAATAAATTTTGATAATGTTATTTATTTAAATTATTTAATTTATTTAAGAAACAAGTTAATAAATATATCCTGAAATTGGTTTAATAATTATATTTTTATAGTTTAAATATTTAAAAAGTAGAAATGATTCAAAACTGAAACATACGATGATATCCTGGTACTGTTTTGGGCTTTTATATTTACTTGTAAATCACTTGTAACTAGCTAGTTGTGAAGTTGAATTGAACATAGTGTAGACAATTTGGACGTGTCAATTTTCTCTTCCATTTCTCTATTCATTTTCCGATTCGTGCTCAACACTTTCGAGTTTGGAGCGCTGCCATCGTCTTCACTCGTTCTTCATCTATATCATTCAGATTTCTCTCGTCAAATAGCACCGTTCTCAAAGGTACCCTCTATTTGAGAAAGGAAAAGGGAAATCACATCTTCTACTAGAGCAAAAGCCAAAAGTTATGTCTAATCGTTAGGGAATGTGGGTTGCTATATTGGTTTGATAGATGGAAATGTAGGTAGCTTGTTTTTCTGGTTAAAGCTGTTTGATAGCTGAAGGTTGAAACCTGAAATAATCAAAGAGGAGTAAAAATGTGTTTTTCAGCCATGTGATACAAGTGAGGTTTGTGTATGTAAAAGAAGCTAGAATTAACTGGGGGAAATGTTTCATGTTGTAGAGGCTGTGGAGCATGACCATATGAATGTTGAGAGTATCTTTTTGGTTCTCCTGACTTTTTAAGATGTCTTATTTAATAATTTTAGGACCTTCGGTTGCTGGAAGTTAATAATGAACTGAAAATGCATGATAGATTGGGGAGAGTATCATTTAAAAGCTTTGCAAGTTTGCATAAACTCACTGTGCCTGTTAGCCTAGATTCATTAGCATATTTTACACGTGCTAAACTATAGTTATGGTTGTAGTTGGTACCAACAGCGGAGTTAGAATTTTTTTTTAATATCTGCACATTTAGAATAAAAGAATAAAGGAATTTTTTTTTAAATATATTAAAATGCAAAAGAATATAAACAAAAAAGAAAGAAAACTTTAACTTAATATAAAAAAAGTAATCAAGAGTCAATTAAACTGTTACAATAGAATATTTTGGGTCTTCAACAAAAATTATGGGTCTCAATTTAACCTTTTAGAAAAAATAAATCTACTCGTGATCCTTCAGAATTCAAAAATAGACCCAGATAATCAAAATCATGGTTCTCTGAAATTCAAAAAGACCTGCATTAATCCCTCAAAAAGACTAACATGGGCCTATTTTGGAATTTAAAAGGATCACGAGTCGACTTTTTTTTAAGAGATTAAATTAGGTCCTGTAATTTTTGTTGATAACCCAAAATATATATTTTTTTCTCCAAAAAATTTGTGTGTGCACTTGCACACACTTGCATATACAATGGTCCGCTACTGGTTGGTAGCTGTTAATTAGCTTTGTGAATGGTCCTTGACAATCTCCTATCAACTCTTTGATTTATTGTAATTTTAAATAAGACATCAGTTAAGGTGAGCTTTAACTACCCCATGTGAAGGTTAGCTTCTTACAAGAATTTTTATTAAAAAAAATATTAATTACTAGCCTGTGATCCACCCTTATCAAATCAAGAACACTAGCCTGTTACCTTCTCTTCATAACTTAATCACAGGTCTTACAAGCATGAGTTATAAAAGGAAACCCCTCTTTGAAAAAAAGAGAGATAAGGAAATATGAGACCTGTGAGGTGGTCTAGTTTGTCCTACTCAAAACATCTCAAAGCCATTAAACAAGGTGGCATTGCACTAGAAATGGTCAGAATCATAGCAGAGCAATTTCCATAAACATCTTGGTAGTAAAATATTTTGTTTCCTTGCCCTCCCTTGGAAAAAGAACATAGGATGTGCGTGAATAACACTTCTCTTTCATTTTCACTCACAGACACAGCCTAGCTTGAAAGAAACAAGTGACATGAATTTCGTTTCTCTTTCTGGGTAGCCTGAGTAAAAAACTCAAGAAATAGTAATCAAAATTTATCAAAAAAAAGTACAAGTAATCATACTGCTACAGGCGTGGTTTTTTTTGTCTAGTATAAAATGACAACAGCACCTATCCTTTAATATATTGTTTCTCCTTAATAAATATATTGCAAGCTGGAGCAGTTATTATGAAATTGAAATTTAGAAGTTACATTATACTGGTCAGGCCCTCCTCCTACCACGTTTGGATTTTGTCCTGTTTTGGTTGTTACATTCCAGCCAAACCAGATTCCCCATTTCTGCATTATCATTCTTTAGTGTATCTTAAAATTATTATCTTGTGCTGTTTTCAGTTTATTTTTTACTATACCCTTGTAGATCCTTCTCTGTTAGAGTCAGAGATGGTTGTGCTGCTTACGTTTCATGTTGTCAACAAACACCTGCCCCATGTTTACTGTTTCTCTTTCTCATGGCTTGATTCTGAAGAATTTATATGATTGTGAATTTAACAAGTAAGAAAAACAAAATACAAGTGGCTTAATCGATAAATTTTTTGGAAGAAGCTCACCTTCACATGGGGTAGTTAAAGGTCAGGACAAATTAATTCGAATCAACTCTTAGATTTATTGTCACCAAATGCAAAAACTAGTCTAAGAGGCTTACTATAGACTATAGAGAACTAAATAAAAATAACCATAAATGTTGAATGTATGTGCATAAGAGCTTTTGATGTGCTATATTTAAATATTTTTCTTTTCATCTCAATAATGCATTCCAGTTGTGAAAAACACAATGCAAAGTGGGATCGATGCACTACCAAGATCTTACTTGAAATTTGTGTAAAGGAGATTTATGCTAGTGGAAAACTAGGAATTGCCTTTAGAGCTAAGAGATAGGAAGTTGTAGTTGATGAATTTAATAAACTTGCTAATAAAAACTATAACCAAAAGCAATTGAAAAATAGGTTAGATAGTTTGGGGAACGATTGGAGTACATGGAAACAATTATTGGGCAAAGAAACAGGATTGGGATGGAACCATGAGACATGAACTATTGTAGCTGATGAAACATTGTGGGAAATCAAGATAAAAGTAAGCATTATAATTTTTAAGTTTTTAGTTATTTTATGTTTATTTAAAAATAAGGGTTTGTCTAAAGTTTCTTTCTCATTTATGATTTTGCAGGATAATCTTAAATATACAAATTTTTGACATCAAGGGCTAGAATTTTGTGAGGAATTGAAAATTATCTTTGGGGAAATAGTGGTAACAAGTCAACATGCATGGACCCCAGCAATGGGTGTACCCATTGAAGATGGTACCATAAATACCAATCCAACTATTCTCAAGGAAATTGCTGAATATGATGATTAAGAATATAATCCTAATGAAGATGCTAGCCCTGTGAACCTATGGTAAATAACCAACTCAAGAGGAAAAAATGGCATCTGAAGCAATGAGTAAAAAAATGGCAAAGGGTAAGCAAAAGAATGGGATTGTAGCAAACTTGCTAAAAACATTAGAGCAAATGGCCAAAACAACAGAGAGTCATAATGCAGTTGAAGCGACTTAGATGTCACAAACATATGAAATTAGTGGACACTTTTCCATTCCGGATGGCATTAAAATACTGAAAAATTGAGAGATGAAGGGAAATTGGATGCCAAACAATTTTCTATGCAGTAGCTTTGTTTAGAGTGCAACAAGAAAGAATCATTATTATGTCCTATTCATGATCTCATAGGGTGGATTTTGTACAAATATGAATTAGATAAAAACTCTAGTGATTAGGTTGTAATTTGATTATATTTGCTTTTCTCATGTTAAATGTTGGACTAATTTCATACCTGTTATTCTCAGGTTGAACTGTGTTGTTGATATTTGAATGACATTATATTTATGTTTTTGGATTATTGCATACTTTAAGTCTTTTGTCTCTATCATTTTTTAGGTAAGAAGTTATTAGAAGATACTACTTGGCATATAGACAAATTGAATCATCATCATCAAGAATTGTTAAGAGAAGAAAATGTGCAAAGTTTTATTGAGAAATGAATGGAGCAGCAACAATTGCATATTTACATTACATGAAACATTTAATGAAGCAAGGTAACTGATTTAATTATTCTTATGGATGGAACTGGGTTCGAGAAATCTTAAACACTCCTGGTGAAAGTTACATAATGTTTAGGATGGAATCAAATGTTGTATTAGAACTTAAAAACATATTGGTGAGTAAGGGTTGGAAACATCTTGGAGTGCAAATGGGCCGGGCTAAGCCAGACTTTGGCCTTTATATATGGCCTAAGCCTACGTAAAAATATGTTGAGCCTATTTGGCCTATTAGTCTATTAAAGACTTGATTTATAGGTCAAGCCTGACCTATTATTAAAAAACAAAAATCCTAACATGGCTTATGAGGCCTTTTAGCCTACCAAGTTGCAAATTAAACTAAGAAAAATAAAAATGAAATGTCTCATTCATTAAACAATATTTTTAGCAAGGGTCCAAATTATAAAAATTCTCAAACAGATTTTTTAACAAGAACACAAAGATTTTTAAATAATGTTCATGACAACAAAGATTGTTTTTTTTGGCAGACTTAGGATAGATGAATAATATTTATGATAATTGATAAATATATTATTTTATTTAAAAAATTAAATAGGCTACCTATAGGATTTAAGGCCAGACTATTACTTAGTTAGTCTATAGCCTATTTTTTAAAAAGACTAATCTATAACCCTAAGTCTAATCTAATTCTTCGATAGGCCTGGTCTCAGAGGGAAGGCTATAGGTCCCTGTAGGCTAGCCTGATCCATTTACACCACTAGTTATATCGATCCATCTAGGGAATTGACATCATTGGAGACACTTTCTATGTTTCTTTGACATGTGCACATAGTGAGACAAATAGAAATGTCCAAAATAATTTTGGAAAATTAAGAGTGACGATAAGTAGAAAGTTTACTAAAGTACTAGACAGTTATGTTCACTGACAAAGGAAATTGTGAGGCCTCTAGATTTCTAGATTTTTAGTTTAAAGAATTTCCATCGCAAATTAGAGATGATAGTAGATATTGGCCTTATTTTCAAGGATGCATAGGTGCTATAGATGGATCAAACATTCCTGTCATTCCTCCTACTAATGATCAAATTTGTTTTATAGGTAGAAAAGGATACCAACACATAATCTCATGTTAGTTTGCAACTTTGACTTGATATTCACTTTTGTTGTTGTTGGTTGGCCTGGTACTACACATGACACATGTATTCTTTCATTTGTGCTTGAAGAAATGAAAAGTGTGTTCCCTCATCCTCCTCAAGGTATAATTTATTATATTTCATATGAACTTTTTAAGTTTTATATTTATTTAATTGAAATTTTATACGAACTAATAATAAATCTTTTAATATATTTAGGAAATTATTTGGAGTAGATGCTGGATATCCTAACGTGAAAAGGTATCCATCACCATTTAAAGGAGAAAGGTGTCACATTCCTGATTGTAGAGGTTGCAGTCAACCACATGGATTATAAGAAGTTTTCAATCATGCACATTCCTCGCTAAGAAATGTCATTGAGGGAACGATTGGAGTTTGGAAGAACAAGTGACACATCTTACGTGATATGAAGCCTTTTTTATTAATCAAGCAGAAGAAAATTATTATTGGAACAATAGCCCTTTGTAACTTCATTGGAAAGTGGGGTGTTGATAACGAAGAGTTCGACAATTGTGATCGTAATCCTAATTATATTCCTGGGAGTCAAGAAGAATGTAATATTGATGAAGAAATGAGTATCCATAGTCACAGAAGAATAGCAGATAATGGTCATATGGATAGAGTTCGAAATCAAATAGCATCGGCATTAATGGAAAATAGAAATAAGTGATTTCACGTGAATGGAATACTGGTTGACAATTTGCAAGACTACTGATGATTTCTTAATTGTGCTCCACTATTGGCAAATATATTCTCATAGTATTTTTATTTTGTGAATATATTGATAGTTTAGAGGTTATTTGATAATATACCCTTTATGATAATTTTTATTAGAAAAAGTGCTTATTAAGTTATTTTGCCAAACATCTTATTTTTAATTTGAGTTTTTAAGCTAAATTTTTTATATAATCATCAAGCAGTTTTTAACTTTTTTTAAACTCTTTTTTTAGCTTTATCTTAAAAGTAGCTTTTAATTTAAAAAAAATGTAAAACGAGTTCTTAATAGGTTGTTGGTCCTTTATTTGGTTTTTAATTATGTACAACAGACAAACAAAAAGCATTACTGGACCTGTGAATGCATATAATCTGTTCAGTTTTATAATTTGTGCATGGCCCAACAAATAGTTAATGGATTTTATAAGAATTATGTTGTAGGAAAAATGATTGTGTAATGTTATGGAGATTCGTTTTGCGTGCCGTAATTTTCTTTTTTTCTTTTTTCTTCAAAAAGTGTGGGCCTCACAAAATGTTGTGTGTGTAGGAAAGTTTGTTGTGTCATGTTAAATGACAAATGCAAACCCCATAGTTAATAGTCTATTCCAAAAAAAAATAAGGTAAATTGTATTTTTTAGACTTTCTTTTTTCTTTTTTCTTTTTTCGGTAAACATTTGTTAGACATATTTAAATTACACTTAATTTTATTACTTTAATCCATTTTATTGTCAAGGTACATCTTAAGGATGGTGAGTAACTATGGACGAGCCTTCAAAGAATATGTTTTCCCTTCTAATTTTTTTTGTCTAAAGTAACACAGAGTGAATAGTTTAAATTCAAATATGATATATAGAGACAAAAAATGTCATTACTAGAGTTTGTTCAAAAAAAAAGTATAGCACATATTAATTTCTCACTGAAAAGGATGTAATTTTCAAAATATAAAGAATGACAATGTAATTTAAATATTTTTAAGAGTAAGAGGTTATAATTTACTCAAAGTAAGAGGTTAATAATTGGTTATTATATATTGAATAAAGAGTAAAAGAGAAAGACTAATGTTTCTAGTGATTCCATAATAATAATAATAAATTAAAGAAAATGTATCTTTATATTTTTATGCCTATCCAATATTTGTCTCAAATTTTTTTAATTATAAAAGCATCTTTTAATAGCAATGTTATTAAACCCGGCCTAGATATTGATTCGGTCGAGATACTGGGTCACTGGTTCAACCAGTAGGTCACTGATTCAACCGCATGACCCGGTAAGTATATGTACATTTATAATTTATACTAAAAACTATAAATATACTCAAATACCTGTAAAAAAATGATATAAATTTTAAATATTTTAATATGAAAAATAGTAAATTACACATCATTGTCCAACAAAAGACCAATCAAACTTATAATACTTGTGATACTGGTGCTTCAAGTTCATTAAACGACATCTGTAACTATAAATTAAATCCAAATTCGATGCATATTACATAATCAAGATAACAATTAATGTTATGGGTACATAACCTATGTAACTCAATAAGCAACAGATCACTCAAATATTTAAAAAAAAACAAACAATTTGTGTGTGAGAATAAAAAAAGAAAGGTATTCATTAATGAGAACAAATGAGTTCTTACTTTTTTTTTTTTTATAAATCAGGCCGGGTAATCGATTGAACCGACCTAGTCGCTTCGATTCTATTATATGGCCGGTCCAATTTGAAAATCAGATCAATTATATGACCGGTTTATCGATTTCCGAATCGACCCGTCCGGGTCGATCGGTTCGATTTTTATAACATTGTTTAATAGTATAAGTATAATCTCTTTCAAAATATATGGGTCCATTTCAAGGTAAAAAAATGGAGTGACATATATGTATATTTGCATTGTTGATTGAAAAAGAAAAGCAAGAAAACCTACATGGCCATCGTTTGTGACTATATTTTCTGACATTATTCATTTGATAATTCTCACATGGGACTAATTTTAAGGATTTGTATAAAATAAATAATTATTTATTTGTTTATCTTAAAAAGAAATGAACCCTTAGCAAGTGGCATTACCGCATTAGGCCAAGAAGAAGGGCCTTTGCAACTAATCATGTTTGCATTATCATATCATGCATTTTACCACAAATTTCATGCCACTTGTCACAAAGAATAATTATTATTGTTAATATCAAATTAACCGTTTTTGTTGGGATACCATGTACGATAATAGAAGAAGTATAAGTAGCTACAGGTCCTAATTAAATTTTTTTTTTTTTAAAAAAAAAAAAAAAAAAAAACTTCAGCCATAGTGGCCGAAACTCTCAAATTCCACATCTTTGTCTCGTGGTCGTGAACCGCACTCGGATGCTCGTACATTTTCGAGTGGAAACATAATAGTACATTGAAATTGACCATAACCATAACAATAAAAGAAAGTAAATATAACATAAAATACTATGAAAAGTCCAAAGCCCTGTTATACCGACTCATCTCTCTGTGTTTCGACTCAGTACGTCTCTTGATTGATGGGAGAGAAAAGCATGGAAGAAACTCTACTAGCGAAAGAGATTGTGACTGAACAACAGAGAGTTACATGGGATGTTTTCGGTCTAGAAATGAGGAGGATTTGCCACATAGCAGGGCCTATGGTGGCTGTGATTTCATCTCAGTATTTGTTGCAAGTTGTCTCAATCATGATAGTTGGTCATCTCGGTGAGCTCTATCTCTCTGGCGCTGCCTTAGCCATCTCCATTACTACGGTCACAGGTTTCAGTTTTCTTGTAAGCTACTACTCACCACTCTATCAGATCTACAACTTTTTTTCTGTATCAGTATTCTCTTTCATATAAACTCACATGTGATTATTCCCTTATTTGATGGCCTATTTGTATTGCTACTTTCTTTCT